AGGTCCAAATTACATTTTTTTAAAAACTCCAAGATTGCATATACCCAGATACATAAGACCCAGATACTTAGAACCATATTCTTCTAACATTGTGATATGCTCTTCCACCACAGTTTTTCTTGCATTTTCCTGGAACTCTAAAGACTTGTCTTTCCGTCCAACAAAGTAAAGACCACGAAGACATCATGGAATGGAATCGTTCTGAACCTCAATTCTTTTCTTTTCTCTTGCCCTTCTTATTTTGTTCTTATCGATGATATTTGTTTTATTTTGCGGATCTATGACACCAAAATCTAGTAGCACCGCTGATGCAATAGCTGCTCCTGCACGGTCTGAAACCAAATACCGGTCAAGCGTTTCAGTTAATCTTCGTATTTCTTTCAGATTGCGTTGAATGCCCTCTGAGGTACTTAGCAAATTCGATAAGCTATGTTGTAAGTTAAACACGGGCAACTTTGAAGTATTTGCATATGGAATAGAGAAGTCTGGGTCAAAATCTTCAGTATCATATTTATCACACACATCTGTCGGTAATTCACAAGAAGATCGAACTTTTTCAATGACTGTTACACTAGTTGATTCTGATGTATGTGACGAAGCCATTATGAACGCTTTTTTCTCCTTCTGCATAAGTTTCTGGGATTCAACTTTATCAAAGGCACCAATCTTCATTTTGCGACAAGTTCTTTGGTCTAGAATAAATGCTCTTTCCAGTAGAGGTAAAATATTTAAGGAAAAAAATATTTTTAGCTACTCATTTTGGACTTAAAATTTGTGTTTTAGTATAACTCAACTTTTTTGACCACAGGCGTTGTTATTTTCCAGAAAAAAAATTGTCGGCCCACCCTAATGGATATGTCTGCAGAGTGCATAATACTAAAAAATAGATCAATCAATGAATCTTTACGAATGAAGAAAGAAAAACCTAAAAATGTATGCAAAATTGAATAGATACAGAAATTGCACATTTTTTTTCGAAATCTATTCTATTACAGGAAAAATAAAGCTATTTATTAAATTGTGCGTATTTTTGAATTCCAATATTTAGTACGTACTCAAAATATGTATGGCCTTTCGACTAAAAATAATATACTTGCGATCATCACTTGCATTAAATTACATCACTAATGTTAGCAAATTGGTGCCTTTGCCTTCCTTAATGAATAATCGTCAACAACAGGGTGAAACTTGATGGCTACTTTGATGGCTACGTTTTTGATACGTTGTAATTATTTTCGTAATTAATGGGTTACCACTTTTACAAGACAGAGTGAGGGTAATCAGTGAAATCTTTCACACGGATAATAACGCTCGACGGTACATATTGGGGTATTGTAAAATTATCTAATGGGTGGTGGAGTTAATTAAGCTTAAAACACTTTAGAAAGTTCCTTTAAATATAAAAAAATATACCGGCAAGTAAAAACAGGTGTTTTGGTATGGATTTCACAACCAGAAAACTTTATAATATAATGTTTTATTTTGTTATCATTATAAACTTTATACAGATAACGACATTGTTTTGTTGACAATAGGAACTAAGATTTATTGCAATCCCATCTCTATAGTATATTTATTATAATAATCTAAATCTAATTTTTTGGTAATTTTTGTACCTTAATAGCAATATAAATAGATAAGGAAGTAAATAAGTAATATGCTTTATTGTCACTGAAAATTGTACAAATTTTATGGACAAAGCTTATAAGAATAAGAAAAGAAAGAAAAAAATAATCAGAATAAAAATCGTTTGTACTTTTAAATAAAAAAAAAACAGTAAAATTTTTCCGAACTTAAACATAAAAAGTACTACGTAATTAAGAACCTACAAACTTCGTTAAATGTACCTAACAAAAATCAAAATTAGGAAAGCAGAATAATGAATTAAGGGCTCAAATATTCCACCTCCTTGTGCAAAACAGTAACCAAATCAGTGTAAGGGCGAGCGCCCACCAAAGTGGCGTGGAAAGTAGCACGTAGCAAGTAGCACGCGTCTAGCATGTTTCTTAAAATGTAACCAATGAAAACGAATGATTAGAATGAATGACGTCACTGTCATTTTGGTGTGCGCTGAATCATTCGTTTTCATTGGTTACATTTTAAGAAACATGCTAGACGCGTGCTACTTGCCAGTTGCTACGTGCCACGCCACTTTGGTGGGTGCTCTCACTTATGCTTGCAGAGAAATGAAGTATTTTTGCCCTTAATTCGACTAGGTTTGTGGCCCTTGCAAACTGATGCCTATAAATGTTTTCTTTGAGAAAACCCAAAAAAAAAAGAAATCGTTAGGTGTTAAGTCACAGGATCTAGCGGGCCATTTAATTGTACCACGTGTACTTATCAGTCAATCAGGAAACGTTTGATTGAGGAAGTCAATGGTTGCTCTAGACTTGTGAGCCGAACACCCATCCTGTTGAAAATAAACTTCTAAAAACTAACGGGAAGGCGTCGAACTGCCGGATTGATCACATTCTGTAAAAGTTGTAACTATTGTGGCTTGTTTAGGTTTCCATCGATAAAAAATGGACCGACAATATGGTCGCCTAGTATCCGAGTAACATTTAACTAACATTTTATCCTAAGGGCGAGCGCCCACCAAAGTGGCGTGGCAAGTAGCACGTAGCAAGTAGCACGCGTCTAGCATGTTTATTAAAATGTAACTAATGAAAACGAATGATTAGAATGAATGACGTCACTGTCATTTTGGTGTACGCTGAATCATTCATTTTCATTGGTTACATTTTAAGAAACATGCTAGACGCGTGCTACTTGCCACTTGCTACGTGCCACGCCACTTTGGTGGGCGCTCTCACTTACATTTAACTTTTGCGGGTGCTGCGTTTGCACTGCAACACTGAGGTGCTTATTTTTCGGAGAATAATCCCTTGCAACGGATGGATTGTGTTTTTTGTGTAATGAAAATGAAGATTCGCCAGAAAATAAAACATTTTTTTAAAAAGTGTACATTTTTATTCTATTTATCTAACATAAATTCACAAAACACCATTCGCCTAAAGTTACCTTCCGGAAACAGTTCTTGTGTTGGTTGTATCTTAAAGCAGTGATACCCATTTCTTTTGAGAACTCGCTGGACAGTTCGAGCATTCACGTTAACTTCTCTAGCAATCTGTACACTATTGCGGGGTACTAGCTTCCACAAAAGCACAAATATCAATATTTCTGTTTTGATGCTTCTCATCGACAGGTCTAACACATGGTTCATTACCTTCATGACACTTTTTACAACTGTTTGCACATCCAGAAGTTTGAAAATGTTTAACGGTATTTTTAACCGTTGTTACACTTGGTGTGGTTCTATAGTCGAAGACAACAATAAATAAATCAATTACTTCGCGTATCGAATGACCTTGAAAGTAACATGTTACAGGTTGCATTTTTTCTTGGACGGTATACAACGTAATAGGCATTTTATTAATTATTTGTTTAGGCTTTCAGAACTTCGTTTGAAATTTTTAATGTCAATGTGATAATTATGACAATTCGTACCTACTGTGAAATGAATATAGAGGTGAAAACGTGTAACATGTCACAGCGATTGCCATTGTGTTGTATGATCAAAAAAACAATGTCATGATCTGTATTATAATGGTTACCTATGACGGAATAACTTCAATATATTTTATAAAGATGAATGACAAGTCAAGAAATAGATAAACAGTTGTCGAAAAAAATTCAAATGTAGAATAAAAGTCGATAAAGATAAGAATGGCTTTCCAAGTAATAACAAAGATTTGATAACATAGATTTTAAAAGGATGAGAAATAATTTCGAAGAGCATAATAGAGGTTCCCATACTAAATGCTCAAGAGCCACTTCCAACCAAGGAAGAAAGTAAAGTGTCCCCCAAAGGCGACTTATTTTAAAATAACCTTTGAATTTTAAAAAGTCTAATAACTTCGAGACTGAACTTTCCATGTAGCTCTTTGCCGGTGGCTTTTATTACCCTAATGCAAAGAACTACACATTTGCCAGGCTATCACACTGACATATAATGTTAGAATAATAATTGCTTTGCTAAATCAATACAAATTATATCATTGTTAATTTAAATTGTATTAACGAATACCAAATATAATTTTTACAAAAATAAGCTTATGATGGAATTTGGGAGATAACAAGTCTGCTTGCCTGATTCCTCTTTTGATATTTATATATATATATATATATATATATATATATATATATATATATATATATATATATATATATATAGTTTGGAGTACCGATAATTCATTCCACTTACATTTAACACAAAAAATTAACAAAAACGACTAGTTAACCAAGGATCGGAAGAGGTGCCTGATATATCAACAGACGAAATAAGAAGAAAATGAAAAAAAGTAAGGCTTGGGGAGAAAAAGTCGCAAAAATTGGAGGAGAAAAGGAAGCTGTTCAACTTACGTCTACACCACAGCGAAACATTCACAAGATGGCACACTGTACTTACCAGTTTATTACTCAAAAGGGGCGATGCAACAGATCTCGAAAATTACGGACCCATTAGCCTGTTAAACCACCTCTACAAGTTATTCAGACGAACAATAACAAATAGACTAAAACAAAATTAGATTTTTACCAAAAAACTTTGGTCCTACCGACCACTCCAAATGCATAAACGGGATTATACAAAAACCCATCGATTTGACTAAAGCCAGGATCTAGGGACAACCGACCCATGGTGCTGGCTTTCGTAGACTTTCGCAGGGCATACGATACAAATGGAGTTAATTTTTTTGTTAGTAATTTCAAAATGAATTTATTTCACTAGGTTTTACCACAACAACTTTTTTTGTTCGGTTAATTAATTAGTAATCTGTGTGAAAATTATAAAACCTATTTTTCAGTATAAAAGAATATTTAGCACATATAGGACGCACATATCAATAGAAATTAATCATTATATCTTATTAGAAGTAAAAAAACACCCTTACGCTAGACAAAAATAAAAATTATGTATAATTTAATTTCACAAAAATCTTTCACTACTAAAAATATCTAGTAACTTGATATCGTCTATTTTCAAATGAATTATTTATTTTATATAAATATTATAACCACTGATCTTCAATTTCTGGCGGCGGGTCCTGTAACCAAGCGGGATCAACAGTCGAAAAACCTGTCAAATTTTTCATTTGTCGGATGGAAGCATGAAGACTTATGTCTTGTATATTCTTTCTCCTTTGCCATATTTTTATGTTTTTCCTTAATTCGTCTAATTCCTTTTTTAACACAACATAGTCCATCACATCAGGAACTCTGCAAAAATAATTTGGAAAATGTTTAAATATGATTCTAATACTGGCGTAGTGACTGATGTACAATTATTTTCAAGGTTGAAATCAAAGATTTTTACAAAAAAATGTAAATGAACACGATTTTTTTAATGAATATCTCTAAAAACTAAAACTAAACCAAATCGAACCAAACGAAGTCATTGCTTATCTTCCTCTAAAGTTTTTCGATGAACTGTGGAACCGACAATCACATCCAGATATAGCAACTATACACAAAAAATTAAAGAAGAGAAACAACTATATATAAAATGACATGAGTATATATTGTAGCAAGATTAAATAAAACGAGCGGTTCGAATTTATATAAATATATTTGTTTATAAGTTTACAGTTCGGTAATATCTACACAACTCGACTTTAACTCCTAGAAGGTATGCTTATATATAAAAGTCACTATGTTTTAGAATATTCTGGGGTAGCCCATCTCTAATTCGCCTATTTGATGGGTTGATCTCTCTCGCACTCAATACAACGCCGGAAACTTCGAGATGCAACCGTTATACGGGCCACGCCGAATGCATGTTCGTAATATATATATATATATATATATATATATATATATATATATATATATATATATATATATATATATATATAATCTAATTTTCTTCTACCCATAAAGCCATTTCAACTTTGCACGAATTTCTTTCAGATCTTTCTATGTTGTGCCATTACTCATTACCTTTTCTTCTCCCCATGTAAATCCTTTTTTGTCAAGTTATTTTGCTATTACATTGTTCAAAGGTCTCTTCCCTAGGTTTTCCTCTCTTCTTTATACCTTGTGCAAGGTATACTTTGGACAAGGGTCTTTATACTTTGTACGCTGCAGTTGAATCCATCGACTTTACTGCTTTATTTCAAAATACTCTGCCATCGACTCTATTTTTAATTTATTTTCTATACCATTAATTGTTACCCGATCTCTTCAAGTCTCTCCCTGTACCCTTCGTATATATTTCGTATATTTTTTTGATGACTGTTCTTCTTATTGCCTAGTATAATACCTTATACCTAATTCTTGTCTGCCAGTGTCTTCAATCGTACTTCTAAGATTTCATTTGTTTAATTTCAGTTCCTTCAATCTTGACTTGAATATCCACTCTGTCTTTGTTGTTGAAAGCTTTCTTCCATATTATTGCACTTTTTTGGATATCTGCTTCTATCGATGCTAGTATTGCTAAATCATCTACAAACACGCAATCTGATATCTGATTTTTGTAGGTTTTGGTACCCTATATGTAGTAACTTAGTTTTTCTTTGTATTTAATTTAAAATTTTGTCCATAAACATAATAAATAATAAAGGGCTTAAACTTCCCACCTGTGTGTACCCGCTGATGTTATAAATTATTTTGACATCATATTTTTACTTATTAAGCGGTTTTTGGAGTTTTTTCTGAAAAATGGCTTTGACAGAGCTTTGACTTGTTTGTGTTTATTGTTACAATCAACTGAATTTTAATTATTATTGATCGCAGATTCGTAGTCAAAATTTTCTTGTTATCATTTATCAATGTTAGTACTACATACTTAATATTTTTATGGATACATTAATTTTGTTTTGATACATTTTTATTTTGTTTTTTTATTCTTTTATTATCTTCCTGGTTTTTTTTGTTTTATTTGCCTTTTTTGTTTTTTTGTGTTTTTGCTTTTTTTTGTTTTTTTATGTATTTTTCTTGTTTTTTGTTCTATTTCTATTTTATTAATTCTTTTATGTTTTTTTTATTAATTTGTGGTATACATTTTTTTATTTTTTCTTTTTTTTTTTCACAGATTATGCCTATATACTATTTACAACTTGTATTTACATATTAAGAGATTAAGGTTTATTGGAAAACAACACTTAGAATTTATTAATTCCTTATAAAGTTCGTTTATATTATTAATTTGTAAATCACATTCTAATATAATATGTGTTAGATCGCCTATTTTGCCACAACTACAATTGGGAGTATTTAATAAGCTGAGTCCAAGCATGTAAGAAGGCGTAAGAACATAATTTGCTCTAAGCCGATTAATGGTCTTTATAAAATGTCAATTAGATTCTGTGTAAAACCATCTTCTTGAAGGTATCCTAGGGTTACAATGATAGCAGTTTAAGCCAGTCTTACATTCTCTATAATGTAAATGCCAATTATTTTTAAGTTTTTGTCTACTAATGGTGTCAATATCTGTCGATGGAATTAAATACTTGTTTACTTTTTCTCCAAGCATATATGCTGATTTAGCCAAATTGTCAACGATTTCATTGCCTTTTATTCCCGAATGGCCCTTGATCCATGTAATTGTTACATTTAATCCTAATTGTATAGTTTCATACAGAATTTTCAGTTCAATGTGGTTTATGCGTTTGATTGTTTGAATGTTGTTTAATCTGTCGATTGCGATTTTACTGTCAGTACATATAACACAGTTCCTAGTCGGATTCAGTACTACATACTGAAGAGCAAACATGATTGCCATCATTTTTGCTGCGAGTAAGCTATACTGGTGATGGTAATTTTTATTTTTGTGGAATATTGCACAGCCGTTCCATTTGCATCTTTTGACCCATCACTAAAAATGTACTGATAATTTGTCCATTTTTTATTAATAATTATTATATCAAACATATTTGGGAGTACATGTGAGTTTAAGTAACATTTCTTAGAAAATGTTTTTGCCATTTCACCGTAGTAGGGCGGAATTTGGCTTTTATAGGCACCACCTATGGGTGAGGTCTAAAACTGATAGCTCATGAAGATCTTGAAGGTATATACAATTTCTGGACATAATTCGGATTCTAAATTTGTAGCTAAGGAATTGGCGGCGTAAATGTACCGCTTTACGTTCCATTTTTTGGACTAGAGTGGATTTTAAATGACCTAGACATAATCTCAGGCATTTATTTTTTTGAACATTCAAGTTTGTTTCGATGTGTATTGGCCGCTGATTAAAATAAATGACAGTTATAGTCGAAAATCGGACTGATCATGTTACGGTAAAACACCAAAGCAATATTTGGGTCTGCTCCCCAATTTGTTTTACAAAAAGCTCTTAAAGTGTTCATTGAGTTTTCTGATTTTTTAACAATTGGAAGAATGTGATCTTTCCATAACAATTTCCCGTCTAGATAGGTACCAAGATACTTAATACAGTTTTTTTATAGGAAAATTAAATTTTCCCACATTAAGACTGCCTTATGGAACTCTATGTTTTTGTGAAAAGTAACACACCTCAGCTTTTGTGTCAGAAATTGATAATCCTATTTCTTCATAGTATTGATTTACAATTTCTAAAGTGACTTTTAAATTATCCTGATCGTTACTTACCAATTTTCCTGTTGTATATAAAACAACATCATTAGCATATTGAAGAATTTTTGTATGGTTAGGTATACCTACTAACTTTAAGATCTATGTTGCATAGGATATATAAAATCGGGCCTAAAATACTCCCCTGTGGTAATCCAATATTAGTTATTCGGGGGTATGAAAATTCCTCATTATTAATTTTTAACAAAGTTTGTCTGTTAGAATATAAAGATTTTAAAAAGAGAGCAAATGATCTAGGGATTACAATATACAACATTTTTTGGTAATTAATGTCTAAATTGACATTATCAAAAGCAGCAGAAATGTCAAGGAACGCAGTTGCTGTAGACTTATTTGATGTAAAATTAAGCGAGTTGAAGTACCTAGAGCTGTAGTTGCAACTTGAGTGGACCTAGACTTGCAAAAACCATATTGGGAACTTGGAAGTATACCATCGTGTTCTTGCCAATGTTCAAATCTATTTTTATTTATTCTTTCGAAAGTTTTTAAAAGACCTAAAGATAAGGAGATAGGTCGGTAAGAACTTGACTCACGTTCTGCGCTGCCAGGTTTTTTAATTGGAATTTCCAGGCACTCTTTCTAACTATTTGGCACTGGTGTCTTATTTGTAAAATTATTGTTGAAAATGTTTACTAGTGAAATTTTATATTTGATCGGTAAGTTGTATAACAGCAAATATGACACATTGTCAATACCTGGAGAAGTATTATTTCTTTGTTCAAGGGCTCGATGCAATTCCCATAAATAAAAATTTTCGTCAAAATTGTTTGTCTGGGTACGGTTTCAACGAAACAGTATCCAGATGAGTACAGTAAAACTGTAATCAACGAAAACTTTAGTACTTGGGACATGTGATGAGAGGGCAAAAATACGCATTATTACAACTTATTATGCAGGGCAAAATCCAAGGAAAGTGAAATGTGGGAAGACGAAGAATATCCTGGCTTAAGAATTTAAGGGAATAGTTTGAATACAGTAGTGCAGAACTTTTTAGAGCGGCAGTCAACAGAGTTCGCATAGCCATGATGATTTCCAACCTTCGATAGAAGATGGAACTTAAAGAAAAAGAAGGGTACTATTTGTATATGTTCTTGTACAGTGTCGTCATTTGAAACTCATGCCGGGCAATTATTCTGTGGAATTCCTGGTACCATGTATCTTCTGGATCAATGGCGTTTTTATATGATTGAATAACTCTTATTATTTTATCTGGTATATATCTCCTTTTCAGACTTTTCCATACATTTCATCTTAGAACTTTATTAAATGCTTTTCCATGCCTGGAAAAGCTAGGTCGTCCTCTCGATAACTTTTTGTTGATTATTTTATTGATCGTAAAAATATAATGCTGCGTACATCTATCTAGTCTAAAACTGCTTTAAGATTCATCTAGTATTGGTTCTGTAACTGTGCTAAGCAGGGTACTTCCTCTATAGTTATTGCAATTCTTAATATCGCTCTTCTTCAGCGTATATACAATCAAACCCATTTTCTAGTCTATAAATACTTGTTTATTTTTCCATTCTTTATTGAGTAGTTCAGCCAGCCAGCGGATTGTTGCTCGTATCCTTCCAGTAGAAGAAGTTGAGATATTAGTTTATTTAAGGTTGTTTTCTGTATAAAATATCAGATTAATAGCGTCTTTTATAAAATTTTAATTAACATGTTTTTCATCAAAGAATTTTATCTTATGACTCCTCTACACATCGTCAGACACGTCCGCGGATGACATCTACGTATGCATCTAGAGATGTGTAGATGGGGTAATTTGATCATCTGTTATTTATATATCACATTCGCGGATGCGTCTACAACATATCCGATAGTTGTCGGTTTTTTAGCACATATCATAGGGTTTCGGTGCGGACATCCGACGCCTTTCCACACATCTGACCTCTGACTTCTTCTTTTCCATTTTTTTAATGATTCTATTCCGATTAACAGTCAAGTAGTAGTTAAATGTTTTAAATAGGCATGTTTAGCTGCGCCAGCTATGGTCTTAATATCAACATACATTTTTTTAATGGTCGCCTAGATATTGCGTCTCCCGGGAAATAACACAGACTGAACGATTTACAGATGTGTCCAGATGTGTGGTCAGCTTGTGATAATACATTTGCAGATGCGTCCGCTGACGCGTCTGCCGATGTGTAGTGGATACATTAGAAAGATTAAAAGAGAATGTTAACATATAATAAAATTAAACAATAAGAAATTGTAATTTATACCTGTACGTTGATTTGAATACTTTAAAATTTTCATATTTTTCTTTAGCCTTATCTCTTTCTTCCTCGACCTTATCGTGTTCTTCGTCCAACTCCTGTATTTGTTGTTCCTTTTCTGTTATACCTACCTGTATTTTATTATAATCCATTTGCTGCCTCAGAAGGTACTTCTTATGCTTACTTAAAATCAAGTTGGCGCCTCCATTCATCCTCTTCAGTTCTATAAGATGTATCTGTTTCTGGTCTATCTTTTGCAGCAAATGCTTATTCTCAATTTCTAGTTGATCAAAGTCAACAGCATGAACATTTTCTCCAAGTTCTTGTCTTTGGATTAATGTTGCAGATACTTTTTTGTACTGAAGTTTTAAGGAAGCAGTTCGAAGTCGGAGTTTTTCCATGGCCAATGCAGCATTTTTTAACCAATCGTCCATAAATCTACAATATAAAGAATTTCTTTAACTAGAAAAGTGAACAACTAGTATTGTATAAAACAAATAATTTGTAAAACGAAAAAAAAAAGATGCTCTCGAAATATTGGCATCATTAAGCGGGATGATTCTAGTTTCCTTCGCCTTTTTTTACTGAGGTGGAAGTGCTCTAAGCCGAGGAAAGATGTCCCTAGTATTATTCGATTCGATTCGGAAAGGAACATATGCTAGAGAATAACATTTAGAGTATGGATTATATGCGCCCCATACCCCTCTGCCTAGTCGCCTACCAATTAAACTACCCGTTTTTCGGACAAGTCACTCCCAGACGAGTTTAATTGGTGGACATTGTGTATGAGGCCTGACAAGGGGAAATTTAAAAATAAAATAGGTTTTTCACGAGGTCGTAAAAACATCGCACGTAATATAATTAGAGATCTGGTTGTAAAGGTGCCTGTAATTCCGGCACCCTGTTCCTCTTTCCTCTTTGTAGATTCTTTGTTCTGCATCGTTTTTTGTATCAAATTTTTGGATGTTATAATTGCTCGTTGGTTGTTCCGTTCTCTTTGGAAAATAGTGCACGTAAAAATGCACTGTTCTGCTTCACCGTTGTCTATGACGCTACAATCTATATACAAATCATTTGTGGTCTTCTTTATTCTATACATGTACGACCAAAAGAAGCCATGGCTGGTGAGAAATTGTGTAAACTAATAATTTAACCTTCGGAAACTACATTTGGACTATGTTACCACATCAGAACTTAATAATTTGGTCTATTGAGCCTTTACTTGTGCTTCCCATTCATTTTGCCATATTTGGAGCATATGTGATCTTACTTCAGATTTTACTTCCGGTATATGACTGTTCTCTCTGTTATTTAAGGTTTCTCTTTCGTTATGACCAGGGCAGGGCAGTCATAGAAGTAGTCCAATACGCGCTTACTATCTTTAGGAGGGGATTTCTTTGAGCCTGTGTAACTTAATACAGACACATAGACATTAACTTAAAAGAAACATAGACATAAACATAGAAACAACTTTGTAGTCAGTTAAGCTAGTGAATAAATAAATGAAAATTTAAATTGAAGAATAATAATTAAACAGATCATTTAGTTGAGAGAAAAGTAGAGCGTCAACTATTTTTAGAAGAAAGATAGTAAAACAAAAGAGAAAACAAATGAATAAACACAAACAAAAATTAAATAAAATAATAATTATTTAAAGAAATATATCAATCATGTAACTTTTACAACGTTATTCTATTTGTAGATCATCATTTTACGCTGTAATGCGCTTGATTTTAATTGTGAATTACATATTGCTGGTGTTAATATTGAGCCTCAAATTTAATTCGTGTTTTCATTAGGCATTTTTAAATATTAATAGATAAAGTACAATGCTGTTATAGTTGAAATTATTGTATAAAATAACATTATACAGGGTGGAACAGCCAAATGGAATAAATTCGATAATTAATAAATGGGGGTGTGTTCAAAAATTATTCTCTTGAACACATCCATTGGTATTTTCTGTTGGGCATATTTTGCAATAAAAACTTTTTATACAGGGTGTGTGACGTAATAGTGGTCGGTACCAACTTTCTTATTTCAAATACAGTACCCTGTATAATATTCAATTTTTCGATTACCCAAAATATTCTAGATATATTTTATGTCTTCTTTTTCTTAGAGTGCCGTCTTTCTGTGGAGGTTGGCAATCATAATGCCTATTTTTATTTTAGAACTTGCTGCTCTAAACAAATCAATCATCAATCGATCTGCATTAATACCAATCACGTAGATTTTTCAACCATGAGTTTTGCAGTTATGAGTCTCAAAATTTCGTATTTTGGTCCCCTCATCACGTGGCCTAGGTATTCCAGTTTTCTGGTTTGTATAGTGGTGATTAGATCTGTTTCTTTGCCAACCCTTTCCAGTACTTCTTTATTTGTAATTCTAATATAATTCTAATCTAATATATTTTAATCTATTCTAGAATCTAATCTATAATTTAATCTATTTTATGTACAATGTGCTATACCTATCTTTAACTATTTTGAAAATATTAAATGTTTTTAGATTTATCCTATAAATTGGCTACAACACACTAAAAAACTAAGTAATGATACCGATTATTTCTTAATAATGTAAAAAAAATTTTAAAAATACATTAATGTGAATTAAGGAGATGTTCAAAATATTCGCCGGGCATGTCTTAGCAACTTCGTAATCTTAATTAGAATTTTTTTCTAACGTTACTTAGCATCTCAGCCGTGGCAGATCTAATCGCAAGTTTTATTCATCCTTTAAGTCAGCTAAGTCGAGGGGTTTAGTTTTGTGTACAATATATTTCACATATCCCCATAGAAAAAGTCTAATGACGTCAGATCAGGAGATAGTGCTGGCCATTTCATCGATTCTCGCCTCTTTCTCCACCGATTTGGAAATATTCGGTTAGATACTGCCAAACATTAATGGGGTGGTGCTCCATCTTGCTAAAAGTATATCATATTCGCTGGAACCTGTCGGTTTGCTGGATTAGGATATACGTTTGCAAAAGTTGGTATGACATTATTTTTGAGAAATGTTAAATAATCATCGCCATTCCAATCGATATCAATGAAAAAGGGTCCTATGATATCATCTCCTACAATTCCTGTCCATGCATTAACCTTTTTAGGGTATTGTGTATGTTCTTCTCTCATCCAGTGAGGATTTTCCCTAGTCCAACAGCAGCAATTCATACAAATTGCTTAGTTTTTTGTATTTTTAATTTTTAAATAATATTTTTATAATTGAGTAAAGTAATTTTATTATTTATACTTTTTTTTATTCTACGATTTTTTTACAATCATCGATTTACAAAGTTTATTTATTTATTTTAATAATTTTCTTTACATTCAAAAGTACATAAAACCCTTTTAGTTAATATTCTTGTTATAGATTTTATTAAATTAAAAATTTTACATGTAGTATAACGGACTATTCTCCACGCATAAATGGACTCCACCAACTATTAGGCGTTTTAGACAAAAATAAACGCAACCATTTTATAAAATATTTTTGTTATTTGATCATTAAAATGATTGATCAGTAAAAAAGAACGCTGAAATAGATTCAGCTTACCTTACCATTATCAAGACCTACATGAAAAGCAAGCATTGAGTTTGTTGTAGCAAATTTTGCAATAATTCATCGAAATAATATCGCATTGCATAATGCAAAAACATCGAAAATTTGCAAAACAGTTAAAGATAGGAATTGGACATTCTACATGAAATCTTCTCCTTTAAGTGCCGTGTCCCAATCGGAGGTTGGATATTATCATCACTATCTTTACTTTATCTACTGCTGCTCTAAAGAGTTCTATAGAACTGCATTTAAACCAGTCCCCTAAATTCTTCAACCATGACACTCTCCTTCGTCCTATTCTCTTTCCTCCTCTTATCTTTCAATGTATTATCAGCCTTAGCAGTTCATATCGCTGTCCCCTCATTACGTGTCCCAGATGTTGTAACTATTGTACATGAAATATATTTAGAATATTCTGGGAAATCCAAAAAGTGAATAATATACAGAGTGTTGTATTTGAAATAAGAAACTTGATATTGACCACTGTTATATGACACACCCTGTATAAAAAGTTTTTATTGAAAAATACGTGACACTTAAAATACCAATCGACGTGTTCGAGTATTGTTTGAACACGTCCATTTATTCATTAAATTATCGAATTTATTCCATTTGGCTGTTTCACCCTGAATAATACGTCTGTACAAACCTAATCCATTTTTCAGCGGGTATTCTTTGTGTTAGCTTATCTAAGCCTTGGGTAACTACGATATGTTCAAAAACATTTCTGGTGTCAATAATATCAGTTTCTCGCATCTTAAATTCTTGAAGATCGGACATAATGTTTCGTTTTAATCTAAGAGACTTTTTGACAAAATTATCAAGACTTTGTTGCGTCTCTTCTATAGCCTTTACAATCATGTCCGTTTTCGTAGAGATATTTATTTTCGGACCACGACCTTCCATTAAGTTGTTAATACTTGGTAGGGAACCCATAACCATACTTTTTCTACTAGTTCCTCCAAGACTTCCAGCTAAAATGAGATGAGAATAATATGCTACAAAATTTATAGAAACGAATAATTTAGTCTGATCTGCCATGCAGACGACGCAATACTACTCTCTTAACGTGAAGGTGATTTAAAACGTATGCTGCACAAATTTAATATAAGATTCGGAAATTTTACATGTGAATTTCCATAAAAAAGACAACATGTATGGTTATAACAGCAAATTTACTAGGATTTAAATTAGAGCTGGAAAATCAGATAATAGAACAAGTGATGGAGTTCTATCTAGGCATCACAATATCTAGCTACGGAAAGCTCCAAACAGAAGTGGAAGATCAAGCGAATAGAGCAAACAGAAGCACAGGTTGTCTGAATGAAACCATAACCATATGGAGAAATAAAAATATCGGGGCAGAATTTACAAAACATTCATCAGCCCAATAATGACATACGCGGTAGAAACACGACATGACACAGAGAGGACAAAAAGAAATAGTAGAGACGAAAAATTGATGGTAAGGCACTATGGGACAGAGCTAAAAGTACAGATATACAACGTAGATGCAAGGTGGAGAACATCAAGAACTGGGTAAGAAATAGAAGAGTAGAATGGAACGATCATATAAGCCGAATGACAACAAATAGAGTAGTAAAGACTGCAAGAGAGGTTCCCCAATAGGAAGACGATCAGTAGGAACACCACGAAAACGGTGGAATGACAACTTACTGGAGGCACATTGAAAAACATAGTCAGATCTATATAAAAAGAAGAAGAAGCAGAAAATTTAAATTATTATGAAAGCAACCATTATTAAAAATTGTTTATTTTTACTTATCAAACACACAATTTACCTGGATTGCACTAAAACTTCTGGGGGTGGAAACTAAACTTACTAAAATTTCTGGGTAGTAGTAACTGGACTTGAATCTCCATCACACGAACAAAACTGCATATCACACTGCGAATTATGTTCTTAAACGACTTCTTAATTAGGACAGAGCAAAAGTTGAGGTTGAAGTTGGCACACTGGACACAAACTCTGGAAACTCGCCTTCTTAAAACACTGGACAATGGAACATGTGGGTATGTTACCCTTATTTTAACTGACACATTACTTTGAGTATAAATGACATTTTTTCACCCGGTTTTTTTTCGACTAAATTAAACACGTCTGCTTACCATCATCAACAATTCAAACCATATTTTCGACCTTCGATCGATATTTGTACCCGCACCCCTCATACCGGTCCACGCAACGAATCAACCAAAATTCTTGCCAAACCGCTTCAAATTATATCGTAAAATGACCTTGAATCATTCCAGTTTTTAAAATTGTAAAACTAAACGTACAAATAAATAAAACCATATTGAAAGTCGCAGTTACAACTGGAATTTGGAATTTGGGGTGTTTTCTTTACATCACAATATAAACGGAATCGGTGAAATATTTTTACACGGCCCAGGGGCGTACTAGAAAATTTTATTCTTTAATATTTCAGCGTCCTATTATTGTGAAATAAGATTAAAATAACAATTTTGTTCTTAAGAAAGAAGACTGAATGACAGTCTAGTTTTATTCCTTAAAAATAACAGTTCTGATTCAAAAAATATTAAAAATGTAAAAAATAATTTAAAAAAGTACAAAAAAAATGACAGTAACATATGTTTTACTTTCATCCAAGCAAAGGTTTTTTACGCAATTCGACCAAGGAAGGTGAGAATTTCGTTAAGATCAGGTAATTATTAAGAAGGAACAGAACAGAAATACGCTTTCACTAAGTATGGTAGGTAGCATCTTTAAGTCCTCTTCAAATTTTCTAATTTCTACTTTAAAGTTTATGATTATGAAGAAGATTATAATTTTATTGTCTTTTCGTTTATGTAAGTTATTAATGGCACGATTACTAACAGTCATAAAAACTATTTACCTGTTGACGATCTGCTCGTTGCAGACAGAGAACTTGACTTTACACCTAATGTAGTTTGTTTTGAGGCTAAGGAAAGAGCATAATTGATCATTGTATCCAATCCATCTAACGCTGATGGACTATAATTTTTTAGGAAGTCCATAAATACTGTATTTTCTAGCTACAAAATAAGTTAACGCAGTAAGAAATCAAAATTCCTATTCTTTATTGATATTCAATTATATAAAAAGTTTTAAGGTCAAGAAAAAAACAAACGATAGTAAATTTAGCATGAAATTAAGATACCAAAGAAAGATGGAATGCATAAAAAATTTACCAGGATCCCAGAAGAATACATCGCATTCACGAAAAATGACATGAAGAAAGAATGAATACCGCAAGAAATCATGGACCTAATGAAGTTGAATACAATCATTAGGAGAATGTGCAGAGAAGCTAATGAAAACTAAACTGGATGTCAAACAACTTAAGAAAATATACAACACATTTAAGATACGTTCTTAAAAAAGTAAAAGAGTTGAAATGCAGATAGAGAATGGAACAAGTAAAAAATTATAGGGGTAGAGGAAAAGCTAACAAGGTAAAAAAATGCATCAAAAAACTATTCGACAAATATAGACCTTCTTTCAGCAACCATTGACAAACAAATAAATAAAAAATGTTCAGAAATAACTTATAGTTAGTTAGTTATTTATGTTCAGGAGTTACCCGTGCAAGAAAAACATAAAATTCGGAAATACGGTATGGGAGCACTCAGATAGTTATCCTCGTGGTAATGGTACAATCTTCTTCAAAAGTGTTTTTTTGGATTGCCTTTATTTAGTTTCTTTGCTTTAGTGGGTGTTTTTGCTTTGACCTCTGTGGAAGTCGGAACTGGCAGTTTTAGGAGCTGTCTTCTTTTTAACTTTCGCCTTGGCCTGATTTTTCTCTGTCTTTGATGCTGCTTCTTTAGCCTTTTTTCACTGGTCTTCAACTAGTCTTTGTAGATACAGAACACGATGAGATAGACGCTAACTTTTTAATCCTGACTCTCCTTTCCAATTTGTTTACACCAACGATCCAGTAGCAACTGCATCTTTTAAATATTTTTTGATGAATGGTACAACTTTTTGCGCAACTTCTTTGTAATTTGCCGCGATATTTTTTGATAGTTTGAATATAAGAATTACCTCTTTTTCGATTCTTGCATTTTTTCATTTTTGGATGGTGAAGGTGTTTGTGGCGTTCCAGATTCCAACCTAGCCGAAGTGGCTAATGATTGGTTTTATATATTTAGTAATTTTACAAAGTATCAACACTGAATACAAAACAATCTATTTGCAATCAAGTCTATGACTTACGTATTAATTGCACAATTTTCAATCAAAACTCATATAAGATACATACTATACGAAACGTTCAAGAGACTCTATCGTATTTACACACATCGACATCGACACTTGCAGGTGTGGACGCATAACCGCGAACGTTCGTCCACACTTGTCGACTTTATCAAACAACGATACTGTATAATTAATTATGAAAATTAAAAACATCATTTTTGGGCTTCAAAAATTACGAGCCCTAGGTACGTGTCTAGGCCTTAGTCCGCCCCTGATTGTATAGTATATCTATAGTCCTGTTTAAGAGTGAGCAAATAGTAGTGAAAAGGGATGTATGACTAATGAGTGTGAATGTGTGTAAAATCTAGTTTCAATAGAAAATAAAATGAAAACTTACCTGAAGGTGTCTGTTTTCATCCTCCATATTGTTTACAAGATCTACTAACTGTTGGTATGTTAATTCATCCAGAGGATCTTTGGGTGGTTGTAAAGGCTGTTGCTGTTCCTGCTCTTCTTCCACTTCCACTGCATTTTCAGAACTTTCAGAATCGGTATCTTCACTGAGCACCTCTAGTTCACTGGTTTCTTCAATTTCAGCTTCATCTACATCTATGTCTTTTTCGGTCATTATATGTATTTAAGAGTTATTAAATAAATAAAAAAAGAAAAATATTTTGATAGCTTTTCAAAAATTGACAAACAAACGTCAGCAGACTAAACAGTCAACTTATTTGTCATCAGCGGTCTGGTGACGGTACATATTATTCAGTATATAAGGTGTGCCAAAAGAAGTGGGGCGCTCAAATACTTCGAGAAATTTACATTAGATACAAAAACTGTAAAACACGTTTCCAATATTTTTCAAAAATCTATCGAACAAAACTAAACATGACCCCATACCTACCTCCTTGAAGTGGGGCGAGAAGTAACTTTGAAATCTTAAAGAGGAATGCCCATTGTCTATTGTAGATTTGGATTTTTTATGCAAGATTAAGTAACTTTGGTTTGCGACATTTTTTTTAGTTGTTGATGGATGGCGCTATAATCGAAAAATTAAGATTAATCCTGATAGCCTAGAAAAATTATAAAAACGGTCTAATATATCGAGAAATACACTGTTAAATAAAAAACCAAAAAAACAGATATTTAATATTTTTTAAAAAACTATCAAATCATATCAAACACGACTCCAAACATATACCTGCTGATATTGGGACAGGTTTAACTCTGAAATTAACAGAATAATCGTTTTTTTACAACTATAGACGACATTAGACCAATCAGTGTTTAGTGAAATATCGAGAGACAGAGAAGATCCAACAACATTAGGACTTTTATTATTCCTTAGTATAGTGAGGATAACGATTTAAACACATCCAGACACTTCTCATCTAGATTAATGCACTCAGTCAATGATATTGTTAAGGTTACAGGAATAGGAAAAAAGGAACAAAAATGGATACCGTTCATTGAATTGTCCTCGTACCCATCAGGACTATCTGTCAATACTCAGAAACAGAAGAAATACTAACAGATAATTAAAGATTTTAATCGATTCAGATCTCACCCCACACCAGAGAGCTGCATTAAATACTATCAAGAGTGAACTTAAAGAAAGAGAGAGAAAAGGCTAACAAAACTTATTTATCAAGTACTTAAATGGCACTTCTAGAGTAATGTCAAAAAACTAACATAGTCTTCACCTGGACTGTGGGTTTATTTTCAAAATGTAGGAGGTCTGAGAACTAAGCTCGACAATTTATTTATGATTGTATTCTATTTTCATTACAGTATCATCATATTCAACGAGACCAGGTTGATATATATAACCATGTCGATGAAGAGTTGTAGTTGTCTGACCTCAACATACATGGAACTGATCGCTCCAGGTAAACAAGTTCATTCTCAAGAGGTTAGTTCTTATTGCATTTCATAAGAGCTTAAGTTTGGATGACTGAAGAAAGACTACTATTAATGAGATGAATAAAAAAGAGAATAAAAGAAGCTAAGGAGAGAATGTTACATGAGCAGTGCCAAGAACTAGTAGAAATTGAGAACAAATATGACTTTTTTAACATGCATAAAAGAATTAGGGAATTAACAGGAATGAGAAAAACACTTGAAACTAGGCAACTAAGAGATGAAAGAGGTGCACTTGTAACAGATATAAACCAAAAAATGCAGAGATGTACACAATATATAGAACAACTTTTTGAAGACAAAGAGAGAACAGAAGCACCAAAACAATTTAAGGATGATACTGGGCCTGACATTATACGAGAAGAAATTGAATATGCAATGAAACAAGCTAAAGGTGGTAAATCTCCCGGGCCTGATGAAGTTCCTATCGAATTACTTAAAATTGTGAATACTGAATCTATTGATCTTCTTTTGGATCTATTCAATACCATATATAGAACAGGTATAATACCTAAAGAATGGCTCCAGTCAACATTCATACTGCTTCCCAAAAAAGCCAATGCAAAGGAGTGCAATGAACATCGCACCATAGCCTTAATGAGTCATGTCTTGAAATTTTTTTTAAAAGTAATTAACAATAGAATACATAAGAAATTAAATGAAGGTATAAGTAATACACAAATGGGATTTAGGAAAGGACTGGGAACACGAGATGCACTGTTTGCAGTAAGTGTTCTTTCGCAGAGATGCTTAAATATTAATCAGGAAGTATATGCCTGTTTCATTGATTTTGAGAAGGCATTTGACAGAGTGCAGCATAATCGACTTAAAGAACATAGATAGTAGAGACATTAGAATCATCTGTAACCTCTACTGAAATCAAACAGCAAAAGTGAAAGTTGAAAACGAACTGACCAAGCATATCCAGATTCGGCCGTGGGGTCCGCCAAGGGTGTATTTTATCACCCTTGTTATTCAATTTATACAGCGAAGCCATCTCAGAATTAGCGCTTGCCGAGATCAGTGAGGGCCTTATAATAAACGGCGAGCCACTTAATAACATAAGATATGCTGACGACACCGTCCTTCTGGCAGGAACACTAGAAGAACTGCAACACCTTGCTGAACAACTAAATATATATTGCAACGATTATGGACTAAAAATCAATTTGAAGAAAACCAAGTTCATGGTATTTACAAAAGCACAAAACATCAAAGTTAAGCTAGTACTAGATAATACAGAAATTGAACAAATATCTTCGTACAAATACCTTAAAGCATGGATCACAGAAGATACTGATCAAACAAAAGAAATAAGATGCCGCATTGAAATTGCGTGGTCAACTTTTAATAGAATGAGAAAACTTTTTTGTAATAGCGATATCAATATATCGCTCCGGATAAGAATGGTTCGATGTTATATTTTCTCTGCCCTTTTGTATGGAGTTGAAGCTTGGACACTTAAAAAATCCAACATTAAAAACCTAGAAGCATTCGAAATGTGGTGTTACCGACGTATTTTGATAATATTATGGATGGATCGCAAAACAAACGAACAAGTTCTCGAACAACTAAGAAAACAATGCAAAGTTTTAAATTCCATAATAATCAGGAAATTGGAATACTTGGGGCACATAATGGGAGGTGAAAAGTACGAATTACTAAGGAATATAATTCAGGGTAAAATCAAAGGTAGAAGAAGCGTAGGAAGGCGTAAAATCTCGTGGCTACGCAATCTCAGTGAATGGTTTGGATGCAGTTCAATTAAACTATTCTGGCGAGTAACCAATAAAATTATAATTGCCAGAATGATTTCCAATCTCCGATAGGAGTGGAACTTGAAGAAGAAGAAGAAGAAGAGCTTAAGTAGTAGATTTTTAGCAGTTAAATAGAAAATCGAACAACTTTTGTCTTGGCGACCGAAGATGCAAATCAGTTTATTATAGGAACAGCATATTTTTCACCAAAGTCTACATTTGAAAAATATTCCATATTTTGTAGAATCTTAGAATAAATAGCTGAAGATTTGCACACTATTATTTAGCTGCTGACTTCAATTTATCAAACTGTGAATGGTTTTCAAATGATATTGGCTCTACAGCAATTCCTCTAACAGCTGCCACAGCATCTGAAGTTGAGGTGCTGCAGGTTGTGTCTAGTATGTGAGCATACCACAATTTTTTCCGTCCAACTATGTAAAAATTTCATGAAAACCACTGAATCAAATTGTAAATATTTTTTCTGATATGGTTTACTTGGTTATATAATTATTTATTCCCATAAAAAGGTATTTAAAACGTAGATTCAATTCTTGGTTCATTTTAAGTTGAAGGACCTAATACTTGAGAAAATGAAATCTCACAAAATATATCTTTTATCTAAATCACTTTGGGATTATCGGACTTTTTTTTCAGCTGATGCAAAACTGTAAATTATTAAAAGCTGAATGCTACAGAAATCATATTTATTTAACATAATTATCACTAGGAAATAATTTCAAGGGATTTTGGTCGTTTGTGAATCCATGGAGGGAAAAGCCCTCCTTGCCCGCTGTGTTGAAGTATGCTGGTGTTGAAACCAGTCAAGGACCAGATATTGTAAATCTTTTTGCAGAATATTTTTCTACGGTCTATTCCAAGCAAATATGTGACACCAAGTGACTCACCTTTACTTGATCTTACTAACTTAACTGGTTTTAACATAACTATATCTGATATTTATTTAAAATTATCAGAATTAGATGGGAATAAGGTTCCTGGTCCTAATGGATTGCCTCCCAGATTTCTCACGAATTACTGTTTTATACAATACCTCTTTTTCACATTTTTAATCTATCCTTAAATAATGTTGAATTTTTAGAATACTAGAAAAATAGTTTTTTAAACCTATTTTTAAAGCGGGAGGTAATTCATTGGCTAAGGAAGGACTTGGAGAGGGGCTGTAGGATACATGCACTATTAACTTATTTCTCCAAGACCTTTGATCGGGTGAACCATATTTTATTTTTTAAACTTAAAAAAAAATGGCTGTTGATGGCTCCACATTCAAATGGCTCCACTTCTTGGATAGCTGAGAACATATTTGATTAACCGAATTTAAATGATGCTTATCAGGGATTTTGTTTCCAGCGAGATAAAGATTAATTCAGGAGTACCCCCGGGGTTTTCATTTGGTGCCCTTGTTATTTAACATATTCATCAATTTCCACTAGGAAACTAAGTTCCTGTAGCTAGCTGTATACCATGTATCAAAAAAACTTTATATTTAAAATCCTTTATAAAAGGTATATAATAAAATACCCAATCGGGCTAAATCACAATTACAAAACGTTTTTTGAAACTATATTCCATCATCAGTATAACTAGGTGTACATGTTTTGAGCCACTAAAATATTTGGGTAAAAACCCGTTAAATGTTATTAATTTAAATTTCTGTTGCATTATATTATAGACTTATACGTTGAGATGTTAAAGTTACCAGTGGAATTGATAACATGGCAACCTACATGAGGTTGTTTGGTCCTGGTCCTAGTGGTAGACACTTTATCTCAGGAGAAAGTTTGTATCATGCTTAATATCCGATAGTCATCGCAGTGTGAGACATTGGATTTATTTGGTAGTGTTACGAATGTTGATTTTAGCCAGTATTATGGTATTTTACCTGTGACGTATATCTCATTGAATAGTGCTGTTATTAAGTCGAGGCTTTTACTTTCGTTTTAATGTAAGTATTTCGACATTGATATTGTCTGAATCGGTAGTTTTTCCATTCTT